GCTTTGAAATCAATTATAACGGATAATGAGATTAGAATTAATGAAAAGAATCAACCCAGAAGAACAGCTCAAAACGTTGCAAACTTCATTTTCGTAACTAACAACGTTTACCCTGTCAAAATTGAAGTTGGAGACAGAAGATATGTGGTTTTAAGAGTTAATGGTAAATTCAAGGGTCAATTTGATTACTTCAAGAATTTAATGAATTCATGCACAAAGGAATTTTATGATAATTTACTGACGTATTTTATGCAATATGACCTTTCATCATTTAATGTACGAATCATACCAATGACTGAAGCCAAACAAGATTTAATTGAATTATCATCAAATCCTTTAGATGTATGGATAAATACACATTATGATGAATTGTGTGCAGGTATGATATGTAAAAATGCTTTATTCTGCAAACCATCAGACATGAAAGACAAGAATTTTCAAATGAGTATTAAAGATAAATGTGATAAGAAACAGAGAAGAATAGATGGTAAACAAACATGGTGTTATGTTTTGAAAGAAGAAATGAAAGGATTATATAAACAGGTTGAACCAAACGATAATGAGGATTCATTTACTGATGATGAAATACCTGTAAATGAAGCTTTATAAAGTATGATTGGAATTTATTTTTGCATTAATCCCACTATGTTGTCAAAATGTCATGTTGTCTCATTTTTTCAGAAAAGTTAAATTACCGAGTGACACATAGTGACATAGTGACACCTTCAGTTCTTCAAAAATGCTTCATAAGTGCCTTCCTCATTAATCCCACTATGTTGTCAAAATGTCATGTTGTCTCATTTTTTCAGAAAAGTTAAATTACCGAGTGACACATAGTGACATAGTGACACCTTCAGTTCTTCAAAAATAAAGTATTATTGAATAACCTAAAATCATTAATGAAAATATTAACAATAACATCAAATTTAATTTTTATATAAATGGATACCCCACAAGCTCAAAATTTACCACGAATCATAACAAGGGAGGAAATGATAAAAATGATGCAAGAACTAATTAAAAAACAACAAACCACGAAAACCGAGAAGATGAGGAATAAAAAATTAAATTTGGATTGAGTTTAAAAATTCATCTTTATTAAATTCATCTCTTCCAATCAATTTATTTATTCTATTAAATTCTTTTATTTTTGCTTCACCCAGTTTAAGGATTGAACGATAAGTTTCTAATTTTTCGATTATTTCTTGATCGTTTTCAACCCCACCACATTGCGGCTTCTTTTTATAATAACATATTTTTGATTTAATTTTGTTTAGTTTCTTTTTATATTCATCGTCCGGACTCTTGGCTGCTTCGTTGTCACTCATTTCTTACGAAATAAAAAAATTAAATATTATTTAAATATAATGGAGTAATAAAATAAATCGGAATTTCTATTAATTTATTGTCAACCTCTACTAATGCATTACCGTTAATATATCTAACAAATTCAGCTATTGTGTCAAATCTTCGTCTTCTTTTTGTCATTGATTTATCAGTTTTTCCATAATCGAGATGAATCAAAACTTTATCCCCTTGTTTAAAATTCATGAGCCCCGAATTAATTTGTTCACGTTTAACATCATTTAACCTTTCCGTTTGCTTTCTAATATATTCCCATTCTTTTGAAATATCATTTTTCATTTCCACTGGTTTCATGTTTATACTTCTATGCCATGTATTATTGTAATAATATACTAACTGCTGTATGATGGAGTCATGATTTCCATCCCAGTATATCTGACCGTTAACCCCTAACGCATCTCTAAGAGTTCTCATTACCGCATCAACTATTTTATTATGAAACGTATATGGAGAAGATGAAAAGTAAAAATTAATTTGTGGAAAATAATGAGCCATAGCTGCCTGAAATCCTTTATCACAATCACCCCTTATATTATCTACTCTTTCATGATCTAGTAAGTATTGAATAGCTCTTCGTGTTTCCTGTTCCGTTTTCCCTTTCACTGGAATGCAATATAAATATCGAGTGTTTACGTTAATGGCAAATAAATAAGTAACGTTTCCTTTTGAATATTCTAAATGATCGATTTCGTATGAATATGGATATGGTGCAAATGAGGGGCGACTAAATTTTTCCTTTAACGGTTGAATTTTTGGGTCAGTTGGTTTATTTAATATTTTAAAATCCTTTTTAAAATCTTTTTGCTTCTTAAATGTTTGAAATGGATATAATAAAGTGAATGATGAAGGATTAACTGAAGGAGGAGGTTTTGGTGTTGCAAGTGGTTTAATTTTATCTGCTTTGATTTTGGATTTCATTCCTTTTTTCATTAATTCTGGATGTATTTTATTCATTTGTTTTAAATATACTGTATATAAACGTTTGATATACTTTCCCACTTCGAGTTTATGTTGAAGGATGAATTCCAAAAGTTGATCTTCATTTAAAAGTCGGGCTGAATATGGTTTAACTAATGAATCATAAATTAAAGCTTGTGCTTCATTTATGGTCTGAAGGGCCTGGGCGTTTTGCACTTTTAACTGTTGAACATTTGGCTTTTGCGGCTTGGGATTATATAATTTATATAATTCATCAATATCTTCTTCTGTTAATACTTTATTTTTGAAATCTTTCAATTGTTTAAGTTGCGGTTTAGTTTTTTTTGCATATTCATTATTTTCAATTTTGTCTTTAATTTCAGAAATTATTTTATCATGATATTTCAAAATATCATTTTCATAATATGGATAATAATAATCCATATCATCACCCGTTATAGTGTTATCATATTTTTGGAGATATGCTTTTAAATCATAATAAGTAAGAAAATTTTGATTAAATACTAAATCATCAATTAATCTTTTTAAATTTACATCATCCATTTATATAAAAATAAAATAAATGTTTTAAGGGTGCCCACCTCTTTGATCAACTTCATAACCATCATTAACGGTTCCTTTTTGTCTCATTTGTGAATCCCATTTTTTTAAAAATAAAATTTCAAATTGTATTAAATAAATGGCATACAACATCCATTTTCACAACATACAGCCTTAGTGTGTGCTCCTGTTAATGCAGTCTTACCGATTGTTAAGCGAGTCATTGACCTGTTTTTAAGTTGTAAATTAATATTCTGACCATCAAATATCACTTTATCATTTATTATATCCAAATAATTTTTAGGTGTTAATTGTTTATTTTGTCGTAAACTAACTCCTTTCATTTTTTGTGCAATCTTTTTAAAATCACTTCCATCAATTGAACCGTTGAATGATGTATAACACTTGGGGCATAAAGCAACCATGTTATCGCCTTGTTTCTCAATTGCTAAACCCAATAACTTCTTCTCATGTGCTTTTTCTTCAACTTTATTCTTTAATTTAGGTTTAAATTTCTCATCAAAACTGAAGAAATCAAATGGTGCGAATTTGAAAATGTTTTTATCATAAAATTGTTTATCGGTAACAATTGCTTGAAATGCTTGAGTGTTAGGAAGACTTGGATCGCCAGCGATTGCCCAATAAGATGAATCAGTATCACCTTCAATGAAATGAAAACGATTAACATCCATGCATTTATACATAAAATCATAAATGAAAACTAAATACCAGTATTTAGCATTATCTAAAGTAAAGAATGCCTCTTGTAAACATGTTTCACATCTATAAAATCTATCTTTGAGCATCACTTGATATGTATCCTCACCTATTTCTCTTATGTTTTTAAACTTATTTGACATACATGCAATGCGTGCCTTCTGTGCATTCATTATTTTAGTCTTTGCGTAATTTTGTGTATTCATTGCATCGTAACCATATGATCCATTAAGTGAAATCTTGCAAAATAAACTTTTTCCTTTATTTCCTTCTAATTCAGCCTTTTGTCTTTCATTCATAAATTTGTTCGCAAATTCATTAAAACAAGTGTTTTTAGTAAATGTTAAAATTGATTGAATATCATCAATGATAAAATGAAATCTGTCGATTAGATACCAAAGATAATAAGAAGAAAATGGTTGATAATGGTTGTGTGTTGATGCTAACTGAGTTAATTTTCTCTGTTTCTGGTCAACTGGTAGATTGTTTGATTTCATGTAATTATACATAAAACTGCCAATTGTTTTTTCATCTGTGATAATATCTAAGTTTCTTATTATCGGTAAAAAGTTTATGTAATCATTAATGTATTTTTCATCAATGTGACCCTTTACTTCAGCCACGAATAAAGTATTTTTCTTTCTAATAATTCCCAATGCTTTTGCTTTCTTTGTTGCTGTATCACAAATGATAACACCATTCAATCTTCCCGGCATATACATTTTATGGTCAGTATATTGAATGAAATCATGAGGATTAGATGAAAATGATGAAGGATATAATGAATTAAAATCAACACCAACGAAATGAGTCATAATGTTGGAAGTGTCCTCATTTGATACAGTTTTAGTTTCTGGATTATATGCAAGTTTATTAATGTGCGTGATTCCTTTAAGATTTACTCTATGTTGAACATTTGATAGACCACCAGTAATTCCATTACGGAGAATGTGATAAGCTTCAACTGAATCTAAAGTCATTGGTAAATTATTTTTTAATGCATAATTTCTTAAATTGATTCTTAAACGTTGAACATCTTCATCTTTATTTGATTTTACGACATTGCAATAACAACACATTAACTGACAATTTTCTTTAGTATGTGGTTTTTCATTATCGATTCTATCCAATGTTGGTTTATTAGCATATGTAAACGCTTTACCACACATTTTGCATTTAGATGAAAGGATTAAATCGTGATAGTATTGAAAATCATCCATTGAAACATTATTTTTAGTATCTCTTTTTGCTTTTTCATCTTGTTTCTTATATGATTCAATTTTATATTTCCAATACTTTTTCGTTAATTCAAAACTTGATTCTATCTTTTCCTCAGGATATTTTTCATTAAGATTAAAGTCTTTATATGCTAAAGCGTAACGAATCATTGAAGCATTTGATGATAAAGAAAGATTATGAAGCATATCAATTTTATAAACAAATGTTTCTTCAATAATTTTATCAATTGGGTCAATCATAATTTCAACATCTTTATTGCAATAATGAATAAAATATTCTAATCTATTCTTAAAATTTTTAGCATCATTGAGATATATTTGATAATCACTATCTGATATAGTTTCTTGAGTTAATGCTGAATAAAATGAATCTTGAGTGAATGGTTCCACTTTATATAATTCTTCTTCGTAATTCTCCCATGTGATGAATTGATAAGGGAAAAAGGATTTAACACGTGATTTATTGTTTCCGAAATCTTGAGTGAATTGATCCAATGTTCCACCCGCTATATAATTTCTGATGTCAATAAATCTCAATTCATATGGAACGTTTGTTTTCTTTACAATGATTTGCTTAAATTGTGAAGATGAACCCAGCATTGATTTTATTTTCCATTTTGCAGTGTTTAAATCACGAAGAATTAAATTTAAATCAAACTTTCCCGAATTAAAACCTATGATATTCACTTTATTAAATTCCTCATCTAGAAGTTCTTTAAATGCTTCCTTCTGTTTTTCATTTAATGTAAGGGACAACAATAATTCATTGTATTGACTCATATTTGATTCAACAACTAATGAACAGGTTGAAAATAAAAACTCAATCCAATCAGAAATAAAAGAATCACTTGAAGTTAAGCAAAAATTCCTCGTATATGTTTTATCATTTAATTTAACCGTTGATGATACCATGAATGGTTTTAAGTAAGCATTCAAAGTTGCACACTCAGAAAGTTGTAATTCTTCTTTAGTCTCTAATGTTTCAAAGTCAAAAGTAATATAATATCTTGTCGGTTTATAATATTCCTGCAAATTGTGAGCTAATAACCACTGATATATCTTCTGTTTCATAATATGTGGTGCATATGGTTGCTGGGTTTTTTGCAATTGAACGTCTTGAATTAATCTTCCATTATTTTCTTTACATTTCTCACAATGCTTTAAAAATCTTCTTTGGTTTTTCCTTTCTGGATCATCGCGGATAGAATAAACTTTTTCTTTACAATATGGACAAACTTTATAGCCGGTGAGTGCTTCAACGTCTGTTATTCTGTCAGCGTGAAGTTTTCCACATGGACTCTGTGTTAATAAAATATTTACTGTTTCAAATTCTGGATCTATCATTATTGATTCCACTAATGGAAAGTCTACCTTATTTATGTCCACGTCTTCTGGTTGAGGATCACAATAATAGAAATCAATATTAACATTTAACATTCTCGCTAATCTCTCACTTTCTGATGAAATGTCAAACCCTTCATATGCATCTATTGCTTCATTTAAATAGCTTCTACGAGTTTTAGGATTAGCACCATCAGGAATGTTATAGAAGCGTTTAAATAACCTTCTACCTTCTGCTCTAATTTGATTATCATTCATTTTAGCTGTTCCGTTTTTGTTCATTTATGTAAGAATAAAAATTAAATAAAAATAAAGTTTATTTATTAAAGTCCGTAAAATGAATTAAGAATACATAAATTTTTATCATCTGCGACGTGACAAATACATTTTAATTTACTCAAGAATGCATACCCTGATACATTAAATCTAATTCCTGTCTTATTTAATTTCACAACTTTGAAAAGGAATGTATGAATAGCTATAAAATGATGAGAAGATGTTTTATGGGTTGCTTCCATTTTTTCTGAAATAAATGAATAAATATAATGTTTATAAGTTTTCATATCTTTTATGTTCTTAATAACGAATGGTATAGACCTTTCAACTTCATCTTCCTTCGGTGCTGTTCTTTCATATGAAACATTATTGGTATCTTCAACAATGAAACCACAATCACACAAAATTTTATAGGTTCCAATGGTTTCTTTTGATATTTTATCTAATAAATCAAAAACTTTATCAACACCTGTGCATTTATTTAAATAATAATTTGTGTAAATATCATGATCTTCTTTTTTAATCGTATTAGTTGCATATGTCACGTTTTTAAGAGCTTTTTTGAATTTCTCAGAATCTAAAGGTGGTGAAAGTAATATACAAGGGTATTCTTCATTATCAATAAATTGTAACTTATGTTTATGAATAAATTTAGTTCCTTCTTCTGAAAGTGTTTCATCTATTTCACCATCTAATAAATTTTGTGTTGATTCTAAGACATAATTTTTATATCTTTCTTCATGAGATTTCTGAACTTCTGATTCTGAAGCTGGGATATTCATTAAACCCTCTACTTCATTTTCAACTTCTCTTAATTCCTTAATTTTTTCATCTATTTCATCTCTTATTTTTTCCAGTCTTTCAATTTCATCATATTCATCATCTTTAATCCGTTCTTCATAATATTCAGGGAAAACATCAGGTTCTTTAGGTTTTTCTTTTTTAGATGTGGGATATAAGAAATTTATAACATCATCTTTATTCATTTTTCCATCATAATCAAACTCATTTAAAAACTCCGCAAATTTTTGACAATTTCTTAAATAATATTTATCAACTTCATAACCCGCCTCCTTTAATATATCCTTTATTTCCTCATTTGTGAATCCCAATTTTTTAACGCTGTTAGTTGTGACACTCATTTCATACGAATTAAAAATAAATTATTCAAAAATGTAAGACATGAATCAAATAATTGATTTCATAAATTCAAATAATCATTAGTTTCTTAAAGTTCAATGTTGAACTCATCAAATTCATCTTCATCATCATCATTACCAATAGCGAGTTTATTTATTCTTTCGATTCTATCTTTTGATAGTCTATCGTTTAATTTTTTCTGAAGTTTTTCGTTACCAAGTTCTAAAATTTTACATGGATGATATTTAAACTCGTTAAATTCTTTTTCCTCAGTTTTAATCATTAATCTACAAAGAACTTTAGTGAAGTGGTTTTGTTGTTTAAACCACTTATCCTTAATATTTGTTATAAATTCAATATTCGGAATTAATTCCCAAATTTTTGAATTTTCGATTAATTTACCATCAAATGCAAAAGCAATAGGTTTAATATTAAACTTACCTTTATAAAATAAACTTTCTATGTAATCATCAAAATAAACATCTACTTGTTTAACTTAGGTGAGAATTGGTGAAAGTTTATCCATTAATTGATTCACAGTCACGAATCTTGTTCCGTTCATTTATGTAAGAATAAAAAAAATAAATTATTTTTAAAATTAATGTTAATTATTTTTAATGTGTTTATTACATCATGTATGGGTTGAGTGTAAATGTCTTACATTTTTAAATCTTGATTTATTCTAAAACGTAAGAATAAAAACCGTAAGAATCATACATTTTTTACTTCATATGTCAAAAATAATGATACAAAATCGTTCAATATCGTATGAATTCTTACATTTACAAAAAAAGTCACTAAACCCGTCATATCCACTACTTCCATTACATATCATATAAAAAAATAAAGAAAAATTTTTCTCCCCGTCTTATTGTTTTATATCATTTTTTTCGAGGCTACCCTCAGTAAATGACATCTAAGCAAGTCATCCTTATTCAAAAACCACATGATGAAGAGTTACAGGAGTACTTTTCCAAGAGTGATTTAAAATTCACGAGCTTTTTTGTTGAAAAAGTATGCAACTGCAAAACATTAATCGAATTTCTGAATGCTTCCATTTGTGCACCAGATATATTTATTAAAAAGTCAATAATGCGCAAATTAATTCATGAATTCCGTTTCAGAGGAAAAAGCTTCATGTTTGCAGATATTAGTAATTCGAACGTAGATTTAAATGATCACGATTACATTCTATTTTGCAATAAATACGACTTTTATGGGTATATTTCAAAAGATCAAAAGAAAATTTCCCAAAGTCCACTAAGTATTAATGCTATTATTAAGGAAATATTCCCCAGTAGTAAAATTCAAATCAAACCATGGAAGGATTTTCGATTTGGAATTAAAAATGCATTTTACGTGAGATGGCTATATTTTACAGAGAAAGCTCCTCCTGATTTTCTTAATAACGACTTATATTCGTTTATTCATGACATTTATATCAATTGTATCAATATTGACAGACAAATATCCGAATATTTAGTAGCAATTGATGCAATTAATAACAAAAACCCTGTTTCAATTTATTCAAGCAATAAATTCCTTGGATTACTAATAAATTGGTACAAAAACCAGTCATCCCTTCCATTTCCTTTATATTATAAGACATCAGATCAACCAGACCTTATTTTAGAAAGTAAATCTACCAAAGCCGTTTCGGTTTCAAACGAAAAAGAACAATATGTTTTCAAAGGCGTAAAAATAGAGAAACCAAATGTTTCATCATTCAAACACAAGAAAGTTGTTGAATTGAATGTGCATAAGCCAACAATTACTCCATTAAATTTAAGAAAAAGTGATGAAATTGTAAAATCTCCTCCAAAAGAAGAGCAAACGACTTCAAACAATACTAATGATCTCTCATTAGTTTATTTAATCTCAGAAGGATATAATTTAATGATAAGGCAAGATGGATATCCATGTTTCTGTCCAGCATATGTATCAAAGACGCAACCAATTAAGATAAAAGTTTTAGATGCTAAATTTAAACCAATAAACCACAGAATACAATTCTATTGCTACCAAACACCTAAATATTCTTTCAGTGATGAAACGAAAGAAAGTAATATTTATATTGATGAATATTCAAGTAATATTTCTCTCACGATTTATTTCACTGACGAATTCTACACGAACTTATTTTTTAATTTCCAAATCATTGAAGACTTGAGTTATTACACTCAACCAGAGAAATACAGCATTCTCTGCCTTAATCAGAGCCAGATTTGGATTTCTGACAATACTCAGATCAAACAGTAGCTATTTTACTTTGTATAATAATAATAAAAAACATTTTAAAATTGTAGAATTTCAATATTAACTTGATAGAACTTCATATTTATTTCATAACTTATTAAATCAAGAGGTTATAAAGAAATAAAAGAGAGATTTATATTTAACTTGCTAATAAATGCTGCTGTAGGAAAACTTGATATATTAAAATATCTTATCTACTCAGGTATTTATTAAGAAGTACAAGATAAAATCGAAAGTACTGATGAGGAAGAAAGTGAAAATTCTACAAGAGATTAAATCATTGTTATTTAATTATTTTTATTCGAGTTGAATAAAGTGATTATTATGTTTGCCGCACTGACGTAAATGTTAAAATCGTGTTTTTATGAATATATAAACTTCTTGCAAAAGAAATGATTTTAGATATTTCATTTGACATCTTTATAATGGATTAATATGATTATTTTATCAAATGGTAACCTCATATACATGATCTCATACTGTAATAGAGCTCCCTCTATTATAGATTCCATTAGTAGTGGATATGACGGGTTTAGTGACTTTTTTTGTAAATGTAAGAATTCATACGATATTGAACGATTTTGTATCATCATTTTTGACATATGAAGTAAAAAATGTATGATTCTTACGGTTTTTATTCTTACGTTTTAGAATAAATCAAGATTTAAAAATGTAAGACATTTACACTCAACCCATACATGATGTAATAAACATTAAAAATAATTAACATTAATTTTAAAAATAATTTATTCATCTTTTATAAAAGAAGCTATATATAGATGATGTCAGATATTCCGCGATTAATTAAAACAAGTGTTTAAATCATGAATGGAATCAATGGAGTCATAATCAAAGACCTCATAAAGAGAAAAGAAATTGAAACTAATGATTATTTGAATTTATGAAATCAATTATTTGATTCATTCTTTCTTCAATCTCTTCTATTCTTTTTGTTAAATCATCAATTTTCATTAATGAGGTGATTCTTGATTGAGGAATAGATTTCAAACTAACCACCCTTTATTTTTGAAATTTTGAATCCATCAACTTTAAACATTTTATTCAATTTACATGTTGTCAATTCTTCAAATAATTTTTTTTATTAGCATAATAGTCATTAAATTCTTCAACAGATGAAAAAATTTTTTTCAGTAATTGGTTTAACAACGTTAATTTTTTGTTGAACATTAACTTTCATTTATTTCTTCCTCCTCTGTTCCATTTATTTTTAAAATCGGTTTCATTTATCATTAAATAAAAATTAGAATATAAGTGATGAAATATATTTTTTAATTAATATTAAATCAGAAATGGCGGCAGGATTCTTTAAAAAATTATGGGATGGAATTAAGAAAGCTGCAGGTTGGGTTTATAAAAAGGTTATTAAACCTGTTGCAAACTTTTTGGCACCAGTAGCGAAAACGGCAGGAACTATCATAAGTGGAGTATTAGGTACAAAAGCAGGTAATCCAGCGATGGGAGCACAAGCAGGTAACGCAATTGGTGGAATTGCTGAAGGAATACTTAATAAAATAGGTGGTAAATAGTGGAAAAATAAAATATTATTTTTATCTTAGTATTGGTTGTAGTCTTTGATAAACTTTTTCTCC